CCCGAGACGCCCCGCGCTGTCGCATGTACCTGCCCGGCCCCGCCGGGGCGCTGCTCGCCGGCGATCTCCAAACAGCAGCGTTGGGATCCGCCGCCCGAGTTCTGACCCCGCCCCCGTGGCCGTCGTCCGCTTTGAGCCCGCGTAAGGGGGCGGAGCCAGATACCACGCCCCTGTCAGAGTCACGGCCTCTCGGGCGGTGGGAAGCCCCACCCAATCCTTCCGCTCCGCCGAATCACGAAGTCCCATCTCGCTTTGAGCTGTAAGACACGGCCCTCGGGGCTTGGACGGGGCCTGGGCGGGGACTGGGCTGCTGGACACCTTCCTTGCCCCGGAGCCCGACCCGCCGTTCTCCTGGCCCCTTGCGCCTCCCGTTGGAGGAATGAAAGGAAAGCCGCCTTGGAAACCAGACAGATCTGGACCTCAGTCATCTCTGAACCTTAGTTTCCAACTCGGAAAAATGGGACAATAATACTCGCCTCTCAGGGCCGCCGTGAAGACAGGCACAGTTTGGCGTAAGGCACAGCCATTGGCGGCTCCAGAATTTCTAAATCGGACGGATTTGGTAGAGAGTTGTGGGGGGGGGGTGCCTCGAGGTGGGGTTAGTGGAGGAGGACACAGGGGAGCTTGAAGTTAAGTTTGCAGAACACTCCACCGAAGGCAGAAAATAATGGCAGCGGACGGACGTGGAAGGGCCCTTGGCTCGGCCCCGATCCTGACCTGTGGGCCCTGCCCTTACTCCTATCCCCGACCCCCGGCAGTCAGCAGCCTGTGGCCCTGCAACCACGGCTCAGCGCTGACTGTCGCGATGGGTTGTGTCCTGGTATCCCGCTCCAGAGCGTGCAGCGCCTCCAATGGTGGTGTCAGCGTCCCCACTTTGCCCCAGTGCTCAGCCCCCGCAGCTAAGCGCAGGCGGCGGGGGAAATTGAGCAGGGACCGAAGTGTGTGGGTGGACGAATAGGCGTTCACCTCTCAACTCCTTTTAGGGCATGGCCCATGCTATTCTCCCCCCTCCACCATCATCTTCTGCATCGCCCCCTCACTACAGAAACCGATGTAAGCGTTCTCATCTTTAAAGAAATTCTCTCTTGATCCCACATCCCTCTCCAGCTATCTCTCTTTTATTCTACTCCCCTTGAGAGTAAAATTCCTCTGAGTTGTCTATCGCCCTGCCACCCTTGCTTTCCTCCCGTTCTCTCTTGAACCCACTCCAGTCAGGCTCTTGTCCCCACCAGTCCTCTGAATTAATTTCTTCTTCAAAAGGTCTATAATGATTTCCAGGTTATCAAATCAATGGTGGTTTCTCAGCTTTTCTCTTACCCTGTCTAGGAGCAACTCTGGTCCAGGTGCACTCCCTCTTCCCCATGGCTTCATGCCTTCCTCCTGCCCCACTGACTGCTCCTTCTCCACCTCCTTTGGCAGCGTCTCATTTACTTCCCAAAGTGGCCATCAGATGTTTCCTCTCTACATTCACTCTCTGGGACCCCATCCTGTTCTGTGGCTATCAATAACACCCACATGCCAAAGACTCCCAACTTACCTGTCCAGCTCTGGCCTTCCCCCAAGAGCCCCAGACTCTAGTATCCAACAGCTTGTCAAACCTTGGATATCTACTAGGTATCTCAAATCATCATGTCCCAATTTAAACTTGCAATTTCCCCAGCTCCCTAACTCCTTCCTCACCTCGGTTAAACAAAACAAAAAACAAAACAAAAAACCCCCGCAATACTATTCATCTGCCTGGTCCAGTAAAAATTATGGTTTTCCTTCCTTTATCTTCTGTGTCATACATCAGATTCTGCAAATTCCACCTTCAGAATCTGTTCCACACCTGGCTTCCATGGTTGTCCCTGACACTTGTCTCATGCCTGGACATCTTAACAGTCTCCTGATAGAGCTCCCTGCTTCTACCCTTACCCAGTCCAGAGTCTTCTCCATGCAGCAGCCAAAGTGGTATTTTTATTTTTATTTATTTTCTTAAAAGATGTGTTTATTATTTTATTCATTTATTTTATTTATTTTTGGCTGCATCGGGTCTTAGTTGCGGCACGCAGGATCTTCATTGAGGCATGCAGGGTCTTTAGTTGCAGTGCGCGGGCTTCTCTCTAGTTGTGGTGCAGAGGCTCCAGGGCGTGTGGGCTCTGTAATTTGTGGCACACAGGCTCTCTAGCTGAGGCGCACGAGCTCAGTAGTTGTGGCACACGGGCCTAGTTGCTCCGCGGTATGTGGGATCCCAGTTCCCTGACCAGGGATCAAGCCCGCGTCCCCTGCATTGTAAGGTGGATTCTTTACCACTGGACCACCAGGGAAGTCCCCAAAGTGGTATTTTTAAAGCAGAAATCACACCACATCACCCACAGCTTTTAGCATTCCAGGGGGCTGGCATTGTGCTTAAAACTAAAGTCTTTCAGACATACATGACACTGATAAACTGGGTCCACCCCCCATCACTCTCCTCCTCGCTCACTCCACTCTAGCCACTCTGGCCTCCTCACTAATCCTCCAACACAGCAAATGTATTCTTGCCTCAGGGCCTTTGCACTTGTGACTCCTGCTTGAAACACCTTCTCCCAGATATCTAAACAACAGCCTGTCTCATTGTGTTCAGGTCTCTGCTCAGATGTTGCCTCCTCCTTCCTTGATTGTCCTATCTAAAACAGCAGCCCCCTGACACCTCACCTGCATAATGCACTAGTCCCTTATCCTGCTTTATTTTTCCCTATAGCACTTACCACCATTTGACATTATATTAAGTGTTTGTTTCTTCATTGCCCTTTGTCCCCATTAGAAAGTCATTCCTATGAGAGCACGGGCTTGTCTGTCTTGTTCAGCATCTCCCCAGTGCCTGCACACAGTGGATATGAATGAACAGATGAAGGAAGGACTGAGAAAGTGAAACAGCAAATGAGCAAAGGAAGAAGTGGCAGCCTGGGGCCCCGGGCAGTCCTCCAACAGAGAGGGCCCTGGGATCCCATTCCTTGGGTCCCTGCAGGGCTCAGACCTAGATGGTGCCACTAAGAGCTCCCTGCACAGACAGCCCCTGGGTAGAAACAGGCCTTGGGCTAGGACACAGTGCCCCCTGGTGGTCAGGACACCTGCAGCTCCAGGGCCAGTTCCCTAGATGTTTCCAAAGACTTTCTCTTCCACAGTCTGGTTGGAACCTCACAAAAATAGCCATGAAACAAAAAGGTTTAGATTTGTAATTAAAAAGTATGCCAAAACAAAAAGAATCTACTGTATAAAACAGGAAACTATATTCAATATCTTGTAATAACCTATAATAGAAAATAATTTGAAAAAGAATGTATATATGTAACTGAATCACTTTGCTGTACATTTGAAACATTGTAAGTCAACTATACTTCAATTTAAAAATGAATATAGGGCTTCCCTGGTGGCGCAGTGGTTGAGAGTCCGCCTGCCGATGCAGGGGACACGGGTTCGTGCCCCAGTCTGGGAGGATCCCACATGCCGCGGAGTGGTTGGACCCGTGAGCCATGGCCGCTGGGCCTGCACATCTGGAGCCTGTGCTCCGCAACGGGAGAGGTGACAACAGTGAGAGGCCCGCGTACCGCAAAAAAATAAATAAATAAAAATGAATATAAATGGGCTTCCCTGGTGGCAGAGTGGTTAAGAATCTGCCTGCCAATGCAGGGGACACAGGTTTGAGCCCTGGTCTGGGAAGATCCCACATGCTGCGGAGCAACTAAGCCCGTGTACCACAACTACTGAGCCTGTGCTCTAGAGCCCTAGAGCTACAACTACTGAGCCATGTGCCACAACTACTGGAGCCTACGCGCCTAGAGCTCATGCTCCGCTACAAGAGAAGTCACCACAATGAGTAGCCCCTGCTCGCTGCAACTAGAGAAAGCCTGCGTGTGCAGCAATGAAGACCCAACGCAGCCAAAAATAAAATAAATAAATGTATTAAAAAAAAAAAAGACTGTATCATTGTGAAGTGACAATGGAGTGTCACTGTCATAAAGATGAGGCTTGGGATGTACCAAGGGTGTGAGCAGCTGAGGTGGAGTTGAGGTCAAGGGGCCAGGAGGCTGGATCTTTGGGGGCACGATCCTTGAGTGCATGGTGGCCCAGCGTTGGTGACAGGAACAGCAACAAGGGGAGGACAGTAAGGCAGGCACTAAAGTCTTCAAGAGACTCCTTATTTCCCTCTGGAGTGAGGACTCCTTGAGAACAGGACTGTGGCTGTAATGAACATGGCCGTGACCTCAGTGCCTGGCACAGAGTAGGCACCTGATCAAACTCGAATGAATGTATGCTTGGTATGCAATTTGATCTTTATCCTTGACAGGTGAGGAAGACTGAGGCCAGGGGCTCCACAGAAGTGTCTGTGCATTTTTGAGTCTCAGTGGGGAGTGTTTTGGGTGTGCGCACATTTGAACTCCCTTCCACCTGCCCGTCTCCCCCCGGCCCCCAACTCCTCCCCAGCCCAGGCTTTCTGGTCCCTCAAAATCAGCCTCCACACTGCTTGCCTGGCTGACTATGTCCCTCTACTGAGGATAAGACCAAGCTCATTGTAGGATGGTGAGGTCTCTCATGTGCGACCAACTCTCCCTCAGCCCCTTGGAGCCCTCCGGGTCCATGGTCTTCCCTTGCTCTCTGCACCCACCATGCCCACCTTCATCCTGGAAAGCTCCAGGGCTCACTGCCAGCCTGGTGAAGCCCTGCCTGCCCTTCACACTCAATTCAGGGGGCACCTCTCCCATCAGCAAGCCTTATTTCTCCCTCTGCCCTACTGTCGGAGTTATTTCTGCTGAACAGGACCACGTGGAGCCGTAATTACCTGCATCTCACCCTCCTGCTCCAGAAGACTTGAGCCTACTGGTGGCAGAGGTCGGGCCCAGGTCATGTGTGTCCCTGGAACCCAGCACAGGGCACTGGCGTTTGCTGCAATGCCTGTGTTTGAGGGTGTGTGTGGACCCGGGCAAGCCACTGCAAGGAGCCGTAGGGAGGAGGTATGGACTGTGGGCCGCAAGGTGGGATGGAGAGGAGAACTAAAAGGCTTTATTACCAGCAAATCTGTACACTATACACTGGGGGCCGGCAGGGCGCCTGAGGGGTCCTCCCCAGGCTGTCTGCCTTGTCCCTCCAGGCTACAGTGAGTGTGGGGGTGTGTCTGCAGATGTCCATTGTTCCCCCGCCCTCTTGTCCCAGGGAGAGAGCCTTCCTCTCCTCCGGCCGCCACGATACTCGGTCAGGGCCTGTCGCAGGGAGCCGGTCCCTTCCTGCGCTCGCGGCTCAGCAGCGTCACCAGCTTGGCCTTGAAGCCCAAGTGGGCGCCGGCGCGGGCGGAGGCCCCGGCCTCGTCGCCGTTGTCGGCCAGCTCCAGCTCCAGCAGCCGCCGGTACTGGGCCTCCAGGCGGCTGTCATGGGCCGCGCCGGGCCAGCCCAGGTCCTGGCTATTGTGGTAGATGCGGCTGGCCAGGGGGCTGCGGCCGCCCGGGCCCTCCTGCTCCGGACAGCCGACGTCGGGCGCTGGGCCGGCGTCCAGCACGCACAGGTTCTCGTACAGGTGCTCGGCGGCGTCCGGAAGCCGGCTGGCCCGCTTGCACACCGACGCGTAGAGCGCGGGCGCCGGCTCGTCCGGGGCTGCGGGGCCCAGCAGAGGGGGCAGGCTCTGGGGCCCGGCCTCGGCCGCGCGCGCCCTCCAGGAGCCGGGCGCCTCGGGCCCCGGGGGCACCTCCCGCAGCTCCCCCGGAGGCTCCAGCGAGGGCAGGGAGGTGGCCCGCGGCAGGGGGCAGGGCTGGGGCCCCGCCGTCTCCGGGAGCCGCTCCCGCTGGCGGGCGATGGCGGCGGCTACGGCCCCGCATAGGTCGCGGGAGCGGGGGCTGATGAAGGCGAAGAGGCCCTCGCCCGAGTCGCAGCGGCGGCCGGCTTCAAAGGAGAACACGCCCTGGGCACGGGCGGCACGGGGAGTCAGCGGCTGAGGGGCCGCCCGCCAACCGCTACCCTTCCCTGCGGGACCAGTGGGGCGGCCGCCCAGCACCTCACCTTGTCGGAGCCGAACTTGCGCAGGAATCGGTAGGGCCAGGTGTAGAGCGCCTGGGGGCTAGCGGGCTCGTTCAGCTGGATGGAGTCCTGGCCCAGCAGCAGGAGGTAGGGCCCCTTCAGCTGGCAGCGGGCGGCTGCCTCCGTCCTCTGTACCACCACTGGAAACTCGCCCACTGCAGGCACGGCACCGTGAGGGCCACAAGCACAGCCCCCGGGCGTCCCGGAAAGATCCCAGCCCTGTTTGTGCTAGGGCTGAGGCTGCCCCTGTACCTCCCCGACTCACCTTCCTGCCAGGAGGAGTAGATGGAGTTCTCCTCCATCTGGACCAGGCCCTTCTTGGGAGCCTCTGCTTCCCCTGATCCTTGGGAGCTCTCCCCTGTGCCCTGGGGAATGGGACAAGGTCAGAGGTTAGTGTCCCATCCACTCCTCTTCCCACATCCTTTCTCTGGGGTTCATGACAAGCAAGGGCACCCAGAGACTTGAGTGCCAGTCCCAGTTCTGCCCCTGACACACTGCAAGACCCTGGACACCCTTCTGAGCCTATTTCCCCACCTGCAATCCCCACCGGCTCCCCCTTGAGGGTGCTGAGTGCTATACAGCAGAGGGCACAAATGAGGCTGTCCATTGCCCTTGAGGTTGGCCAGCGACTGGGCCGGCCTGTGTGTGTCCCTGACAGCTTGGAGCAGTAAAGGGGTGGGAGCTTCAAGGGTGGGACCCACGGGTGAATGGCCACTTGTTCCTCCCATCTCTGGCCTCTTTCCCCATCTCCCACCATGTCCTTTGGGCTCTGACCCTGAGCTCTCCATCATGACCACCTTGGCCCATGGTACCATGGCCAGGGTCAAATGCAATGGCTTTCCACTGGTCTCCTTGCTCCTGTTTATTTCCTTTTTTTTTTTTTAATTATAAGAATTGTGGTAAAATATACAACATAAAATTTACCATTTTAACCATTTTAAAGTGTATGATTCAGAATTTTATCATCATTCCAAATGGAAGCCCCGTACCCATTAACTGTCACTTCCCATTCCCCCCTCTCCCCATTCCCTGGCAACCCCTAAGCTGCTTTCTGTCACTATGGATTTGTCTCTTCTGTATTTCACATTAATGGAATCATACAATGTGTGGCCCTTAGTGTCTAGCTTCTCTGACTTAGCGTGTTTTCAAGGTCCATCCATGTTGTAGCATGTATCAGTGCTTCATTCCTTTTTATGGCCAAGTAATGTTCTGTTGTATGGATAGACTGCATTTGGTTTATCCATTCATCAGTTGATGGACATTCGCGTTGTTTGCATCTTTGGGCTATTGTGAACAATGCTGCTCTAAAGATTCTCGTACAAGTTTTGTTTTAACACCTGTTTCAGTTCTCTTGGGTATACACCTAGGAGAATTGCTGGGTCATATGTTAACTCTATGTTTAGTTTTTGAGGAACCGCCACTCATTTCCTTTTGGTCCATCACGGATCCTGTAAAGCTTTAAAACTCTCAGCTTCTGTGTCCAACTCCCCCAAAGGCTTCTCCTCACACTCAGAATAAAATCCCAAACTCCACATGTGGCCCAAGGCAGTTTCAGCTGGCTCCCACCGGACTCTCCACTGTTGCCTCTTCCTGGGCCCCCTCTCACTCCTTACCTTCCAGCCACACTGGCCTTTCTGCTGCTTGAACATCAAGCTTTTCCCTGGGCCCTTGCCCATGCTGCTCCTTTAGTTCAGGGGACTCCTCAGACCTGTGTTTAGGACACTCTTTCCTCAGATCTTTGCCTGGTGGGTTATTTTTCCTCAAGGATTCAGGCGCACTCTCCTCTCCTGAGAAGCCTTCCTGGACCATCCTAACATCCCCCTACTCACTCCTGCTCCCACCCAGCCTCTCATTTTCTCCATAGCATGCATAGCCATCTGAGATTTGTTCTGTGGGCTTCCGGGCTGTTTCCCAGGCTTCTAGGTGCTTGGCAGGTGCTTGCTGAGTGATGAGATGTGAATGAGCATGGAGATGAACAAGGTGTGAGTGAACTGGTCTCCCCGGCTGGCCCCTGGATGCCTTACCCGCCCACTCTGTGCTCACCGGGAAGGCCAGCTGGCAAATGGGGGCCATCCAAGACTGGCGGTGCTGTGCGGCCAGCAGGTGGCTTCGCTCCGTGGTGGTGAGCAGGAAGGCACCAGTGTCCCGCGGGCAGCTCTCACCGTCAGCCGGCAGCACGGATACGCAGTCAGCCAGGCGGATGACCCGCCGCTCTCCTCGCCGGCCAGGCCCCACAGACCTGTCACCTGTTGGCCCCAGGCCACCATCCCGGACCTCCCAGCTCTCTAGCCGTGCCACGCCTGATGGGCCTCCTGCATACAGTAGACCCCATACCTTCCTCCAGGACTTCTGCAGGAGATGAAGATGGGGGAGATGACCCTCGGGTGGCAGTTCTCCCTGCAGCTCAGCCTAGCACAAGCCACTTAGCAAACACTCCTGGCCACCTAGGCTGGCCTCTGCCTCGCAGCTCTTCAGGCCACAGAGGATGCCTTGCCAGAGCCAGCCCGGCAGCAGGAAGCGTCTGTGCTTGGAGTCGGTCAGCCCTAGCTTCAAATCCACCCCACGCTTTCCTAACTGTGACCCCCCCATAAGCACTAGGATCCTCGTCTCTCAAAAGATTATGAGAACACGGGGCTGGGGCTTCTACTGGGCAATGTCTGTAAAGTATCTAGTGGCCAGAGCAGACCACCTGACGCTACTGCTTTGTTGGTGCACCCACCCCCTGTAAAGAAAAGGTCAATTGGGCCACGGAACAAGGGCTGGGGCGGGAGGGAGGCCTCAGTCTCATGATGGCAAGGAAGGAAACATGCAAATAGCGTCGAGCAAAGGAAACAGACAGTTTATCTGCCTGGGCAGCAGCTGCAGCTGAGCTGTGGGTGTGCAGGGCCTGCTACCCCAGGACAGGGCTGGGAGGAGCTGAGCCCTCTTCTGCAGGATGGAGCTCCACTTTTGGGGGCTCCTCCAGCTCAGCCTCTAGCCCTCTCGAGGGGCCACAGTGCCACTAGTAGATGGGATGGAAGGCAGTTGGATTAACCAGCCTCACAGCTCTGCCCTGCCCCAAGGGTTCCATTCTTGGCTCCCTGCTCTTGGCTTCCCATCTGTAAATGAGGCAGGGTCTCGACCTGCTCAGGCTGAGAATGGGGCTCTGTTCCACTTCCCCGCACCTGGGTTGGATTCCCCACCTGGACTCCTACCCCCATTCTCCCAGGTTCTGGTGGGCTGTCCAAGGCTGGGGCAGAGGCCCACCATCTGTCCTAGGCAGCTGCCTGGCAGCCAGGGTCCCCACCTTGCCAAACTTGATGTGCTGCTGGTAGAGGATGCCGTCCTTGATGGGTGTCTCCAGAGGCTCCATGGCCATGGCCGCTGCTCCGAGGGCCTGAGGAGGGAGACTGGTGACGGGCCGGAGGGGAACTCCTCACACTTCCCCTTCTGGCCACTTCCCCCTCCCTCTGTCCAGAGAGGCAGCTGCAGGGTTGGGGGAGGGGAGCCCTGTCTTCGGAAAAGGAGCTAGGATGGGGGTGAAGGGTATCACATATTTCTTCCTTGGGGTTCCAGCTGGCCCAAGGTACCCACTAGTGCCAGGCAGGGGCCTTGGACCACCTGAGGGCAGATGACCCGTGCCTGCCTGGGTCAGCTGGGTGTGAGCCTCTGACCGCAGGCTGGCTCCTGAATCAGGAGCTCCTACCCCTCCCCCATCCTGGGGCTGTTGTGTACCCTGGGGCCTGCCATTCCCACAGCCTGGTCCCTACCCCAGGACCTTTCTCTAGCCAGACTGGCAAATTCCTTGTTTTCCCCCTTGGAGTCCTGGTTGGTCTGCTTGTCTTTATTCTGGAAATAGTTCTAATGTTCACTTGCTCCTCTCCATCTTCACAGTCCCTATCCATTGCCAGCTTTGGCATCTCCCCTTTGAACCACATCCCCACCTGGGCCCACCGGGCCCTCTCTAACCCCAAACCAACCTGTCTCTCCCCTCCCTAAATGCTTCCTGGCTCCCAGTGCCCTGAGGTTTAGCTTGGACTCCTTGGCCCAGCATTCAGGGTGCTGGGTATTCTGGCCTCCACCTCCCCCAGCCTGGCCCCTTCAGGGCACCTCTCACCGTGCTGCTCAGGGCTCTGGGACTTCTTCCTCTGGGAGGCCTCCCCAGACCACCCCACGCTGTCTGAAAGCACAAAGGCCCCACCCTCATGGCACGGCCCCAGCCACGTGAGCGTGGGTGGCACGCCCCCAGCGGGTTCCCTGGAGAGCTCACAGGCTTTTTAAGCTCTGCTTCTTGCTAGAGTCCTGTTTCAGTCTTGTCTTCCTGGAGGCCAGTATGGGAGCTCTGCATATGAATCTGAATCCTGAGGACAGCCTCATTTCATTTATTCAGTGCCACCTCTGGGAAGGAATGTGTAAACAGGCTGAATACTGTTTGGGGGTCACATGTGGGGTGTGTAGCTTCTCGGGCAGGAAATCTTTTCCAAGGGCCTCATTCACCTGGCTTTGTGCCCACTGTGGCCCAAGCAGCCCTGAGCTCTGGCAGCCTCAGACACCATGTCCTTTGCATTCTCATTGCCATTTCAGCGATGAGGAAATCAAGGCTCAGAAACATTAAGTAACTTGCCCTAGGCCACACACCAAGTGACAAACATGGCTTGAGCAACTGCTGTCCTGCTGGGATAAGCATGTGGCTTTGCACATGAAGTGCCTGGACAGAGGAGCTATCACCAATGCTTTTTCTGTCTACCCCTTGCAAGATGCTGAAATCCTGGCCCATTTGCCAGCAGTCCCGTGACCACTGCCCACATTTATTCATGGCTGATCTGTCTGTCCCACTCACCTGTGAACTCCTCAGAGGGCATCTGCCTGGCTCATTTGTGTCCTGAGCCCAGCAGATACCTGGGCACAGAGCTGGGTCAGTGGGTGCTTGTGGCCTGAGTGGCAGTCCTGTGGCATCTGCTGCCCCCTTGGCAAACAGAGCACAGGGTTCCCTACTGGGAGCCTGTGTGGGCAAGGGGCCTGAGGCAGGAAGTCTCCTCCTAAAGGGCCTAAGGAGAAGCCCCAGGACCTTTACACAGTGACAGGAAGAGGGAGGCTGGGGCAGGGCTGGAGATTATAACAGCCAACCAGAAAGACCAGTAGACCCAACCAACCATTTCCCCTTGGTCCATCAATGTGGTTCTTCTCTGAGTCATAAATCCAGGTAGACTAGAGGAAATACCCTAAGCCCCCAGAGGGGAACCTGGGTAGGCAGCTCCTTCCACAACTGAGTACCAGCAGGTGTGGCAGTAGTGGTGGGAGATGCCAAGGCCCTACCTGAGAGGGGCTCTGGAGGTCAGAGGGTGAGGCCTGCCCAGGAAGCACAGGGCAGAGAAGGCAAAACACAGAGACTGAGACCAAAAAGTCTGGTGTTTTAATGGCAGCTGGGGTAAAGAGGAGCAAAAATAGTAATTCTGGGGGGCACAGGGAACAGGCAGCCAGGTCCAGCCTGGCCCAACCCAGGCCAGCTGGGCCGAGGATGCTGGCTTCTTGCCCACGGGGCAGGGGTGTGTGGGAAGTGGCTGGAGCCCCAGGGACGGAGGCCCCTTGGAGAGAAAGAGGGATGACAGCCAGCTCAGAAGTCCATGGAGCTGTGGGCCAGGTAGTCCTTGCGGCCGATGTTGCTAACCTGCTTCGTCTGCATAGCCTCGAGTTTGGGGCAGTCGGTGATCCGATGGCCCAGGCCCCCACAGAAGGCACAGCCACGCTCTCCTGGGGGAATGGGGTAGCGGTGGGTGGGGGAGGAGGGTCAGCATGGTGATGGGGCCAGGCTCTGTGCCCCAGACCCTGGGCCCCCATCAGACCCCCAGACCACTGAGGGGCAGAATGGACTTGTTCCGTGGTGTTCCCGTCACGCCCCCATTGGACTAGTGTCTCCCACCCCGTGTCACCTCCAATGTCCAGCATGGACTCGTCCCCGCAGTGCAGTACTTGCAGCACGGGTGGAACCTTCTGCTTGGCCTCCAGCAGCAGGGCTTTGAGATCCATCAGCACCGACTCATCTGTGGGGGTGGCGGGGAACCATCAGGTCCAGCCCTGGGCCCTGTACCCAGGACCTGGCTGGTCATAGGTGGAGGACCCGGGGGACAGCCAAAGGTGGCCCTGGTGGCAGACTCACCACAGGCCTTGTTGATGAAGGTGGTGGCAATGCCTGTGTTTCCTGAGCGCCCAGTGCGGCCGATACGGTGCACTGCAGAGAGAGGGAACAGAGCATCTGGCCCACTGCCCAGGGGCTGGGGCCTAGGCCACAACCCCAGCCCCCCGAACAGCCCACCATAGTTCTCGATCTCCTCAGGCATGTCATAATTGATGACGTGCTGGATGGCAGGGAAGTCCAAGCCCTTGGAGGCTACGTCTGTGGCCACTAGGACATCCTTCTTGCCCTCCCGGAATGCCTCGATGGCCTTGGTCCGTTCCTCTTGGTCTGGGAAGGGTCAGGCAGGAGCTATTAGAGCGACAGCAAGAGTCTGGGGAGTAGCGGCAAGCCGGCCAGGTAGGGGAAGGGATAAGATGAGGGGCTGCTATGGCAGCGGGGTCCATGCCTATGCACGTGCCACGCTAACCTTTGCCCCCATGGATGGCCACAGCCTCGACCCCCTTGAGGAGCAGGTACTCATGGATGGCGTCCACATCTGCTTTCTTCTCCGCAAAGATGAGCACCTGTCCAGGAAAGCTAACTCCAGTCACAGGGGCTGACTCCTGGGCGCCCCCGCAACCTTCCGCCAGCATGCTGCCCCTGGGCTAGCCTGGCTGGCAGCACTCACGGGCGGCGGTGTCTTCTGCAGGCACTCAAGCAGGTACACCATCTTGGCTTCCTCCTTCACATATTCCACTTCCTGCCACCACCAGGATCAGGTTAGGTGGTCCTGAGAACAGGCTCACCAGCCATGGCCCTGCCACAGAGGATGGGCCCCCAGTCCCGGCTAGGAGGTGACCAGAGAGCCTCTTGCCAAGGGCTGGGTACCATGAAAAGGCTTCCTGCTAAGGGCTGTGGCTGTGAATGAAACCCCTAGTGCCCACAAGGTGGCCCCCCACCCGGCTCCGATCAACTAAGGGAGCCTCGCCAGATCCAGCCCTCACAGGTGAGACTGCCCATCAGGAGTGCTTGCCCACCTGGATGACATCCAGGCTGGCAGCCCCGGCACGCCCCACATTGATCGTGACAGGCTTTACCAGGGCGCTCTTGGCAAAGTTCTGAATCTTCTTAGGCATGGTGGCACTAAAGAGTAGAGTCTGTCGCTGGCCCTGAGAAAGAAAAAGGCTGGGGCTGAGGGCACGTGGGGCCTGGGGAGCCTGAGGGGCTGGGACAGTGGATGGGCAGCACAGGGCCTTAGGGCCCTCCAGAGTTGAATGTGGTGTGTAGGGGGAAGGTGGCAGGATCGTCCCGGTCAGGTGGGGAAGGGCACCTTGAAGTAGGAGAAGATGGTACGGATGTCACCCTCGAAACCCATGTCGATCATGCGGTCAGCCTCGTCCAGGGCCAGGTAGCGACAGATATCCAGGCTGACCATCTTCTTCTGTAGCAGATCCATGAGGCGCCCAGGGGTGGCCACCATCATGTGCACACCACTGGGGACCAAGGAGGGACACTGACAGCAGGGCCACCTGCTAAGCCCTACCTAGAGGCTGGCACTCCACCTTGTTCTGCCCTCCAGCCTCTTTCCTATCTCTCCTCACCTGACGCTCCTTGTCACTGCCACCACCTTGCTCTATGGACGGCACAAGGCTCTCCTGGAGAGCGCTGCAACCTTCTCGACCACCACTCTGTTCCACTGCTCTACCCAAGCCATGTGGTCACCTCGGCCCCACACACCCTTCCCCCAGGTCACTCCTCTTGCCCCCAGGAGGACGGTCCTAAATCTTCAGATAGGGCTCAGCCTGTGCTCCCACAGCTCCCTTTGTAGACCTCAAAGGCTCACTTTCGTAGTACAATGAACTCATCTTTTCCATGTCTGCAACCTCCCTGACTAGCAATGCCTATGAAACAGGAACTGGGTTTGGTCTGTCTGTAACCCTGGACATCTAGTGATGTCTGTTGGGAACTGCACTGTGTAGAAAGGGCACAGGTCCAGCCATGCCCCAGAGCCTCAGCCTCCTCAGTGGGTCACACTGAACAACCCTGACCTTCCTGGACACCCCGGGGCCCCCACCTCTTTGCCTTCTGCCTGGAATGCTCCGACTCTTTGACCTCCCAGATGCCCCCATTCCATCTGCTGTGTTCCCACAGTACCTCACCACATCCCTCTGTCCCACCCCAACCAACCTCCCCATTAGACAGGGGCTCATTGAGGGCTGAGCCCATGAGAGGCCTCCGCAAGGATCTGTCGAGTGGCTAAAGCAAAGGGTCCTTTAGCTTGTCTAGGTAGGGACTTTGGGGAAGCCCTTGGGGCGGGGGTGCCTATACTCACTGTCGGATGGTCTCCATCTGCTCTTTGACGGACATGCCCCCGATGCAGAGAGCACAGCGCAGGAGTGGAGAGCTGTCCTCCTGCAGCAGGCGGCAGTAATACTCCAGGATGCCGTGGGTTTGCCGGGCCAGCTCCCGCTGCAGGTACAGGGGCAGTGGCTGGCACCAGAAGGTGGCCCCATCTGCACCCTGCCCTCCAGGCCAGGCTATCTTACCGAGGGGCAGATAATGAGTCCATAGGGCCCTTCACGCTTAGAGAAAGGTAACCTCTTCTCTTGCTCCAGGCAGAACATGATGACCGGCAAAGTGAACACCAGTGTCTTGCCTGAACCCGTGAAGGCTATGCCTATCATGTCACGGCCAGACAGACTGGTGAGAGAAGAGAGGCCTGAGGGTCAGGTTCAGTGGAATACAGGGACTGCTTCTCATCTAGCAACCACTCCTCCCCAGGGCCACCAGGTTCACACTCACATGGTGGGAATTCCCTGGATCTGAATGGGTGTTGGGTGGTGGATGCCCTTCTTCTTCAGGCCTCTCAGGATGGCTACAGAAAACAACACTGGCATCATCCTTGTGTCTCATAGGTACTTCAACAAGCCCCCAAAGCCAAAAAGTTGGCACTACGTCCTTCACGTTACAAATGATGAAACTAAGACCCAGAAAAAAAAAAAAGA